ACAAGCTTCCCCCGAAAGCCCTCTACGCTTTCCACTTTAGCAGAGTGACCGTTGGAAAGGAGGAGTGGAGTCGCTTCCTCTCCAGAGTGCGCTCTGTTAAATTAGAGAGTGGAGGGCTTTGCGGGAGGAGCTTGCCCCGTTTTTTACATGCGTTAAGCCCCTGTCACACTGAGGCAACTGTTGGACAACTCTATCCGGCCACACGAGGAAATCGTTTTGCCGGCAATCCTCTCAGATCACGGCAACAACAGCAGTCGGGCTACGTCCTGCCGTCACCCGGCAGCCGTGTTGGCCGATTTGTTGTCCGACCACCCTGCCACACCGCACTACGCCATCTTGATTGTTTACCTTCGTTCATATCCGACGCGGCGTCGCTGAAAATGAAACTCTACAAAATGCTGGTGGGTTCAAAAGGTCGGAAATTACCACGGGAAGACATCAATCAGTGACTGTGATTAGAAAGCTTGACACGGGGATATTTCCAACGCTTTATTTTATCAAACGTTCTTCATTCGCTGACAAAGCAGATAGCCCTAACCGAGGAAAGTGGAATCGCTGATATATGTTCGGGATTTTCGCCACCATATAAAGTCCTTCTGTCCGGTTCTTTCGTGCCATTCCTATTTCTACTGTAAAATTGAGTTAGCACAGGCAGTACTCCAAAGCGTCACTTGTAGCATGGTGTTGAGCTGAACTGACAGTGCTTAGAAACTGCTACACCGGCACTATCGGTCTTCCTAACATTCGGTGGGGTAAATATTTTTCAACTTTGTCTATTTGCCTACCGCCTGCAATGTGATCGCTTCATTCCCCAAAACGTCCTGGGTATTTTTTAATCAATTCAGGTGTCTGGTAGCGGCTCTTTCCAAGTTCCAAGCATCAACAATCATAATCAGAGTGGTTGTTTTAATGCTTCGATTTTTTTTATCTTTGTTTTCCTGAATAATTTTTATTATACTTTATCAGCGGGTGAGTGGGCATGCCATTTTATTTCACTAGCAGTAATGTGAACTGGTCTCTCAGCAGTTCCAATTTCAACACCAGTCTGAGCGTTCACGACCGTAGCTGTGACCATTTCCACAATCGCTTTCCGTAATTACGCAGCAAAAACATTAAGAAAATTATTTTAGCTGCACAACAGCCTGAAGATCGTTAAATAACGTTTTCCAAACCTTATCCAACGTTGTCCAACGCAAGTTGCTACTGTTTTTATTTCTGAATGCTGTCATAGTGAGGCAACCTTTTCGTTGTCGTTCATGATGTGCCGCTCTTGCCGCGATGTGACACATTTATCGGACAACTAGGGAGCGAGCAACAAGTTGCCCAACTGTTGAACAACGTCTTGCGTTGCTGGTGCCGTTGTGTTGATTCAGTGTGACAGGGCCTTTAGCATTTATTGCCGTGGCGCATGCAGTCGCCTCTGGTTTGGGCGGTCGTGGTTTGGAGGCACGCTTCACCGCGCAAGCGTCGTTCTGTATTTCCCAAATCACTCGAAAGCGCGCGAGAGCGGGCTTGGTCGTTGTGGTTGCAGTGTCGGCTGCTAGCCCACACTCTAAAAAGAAAAGGGTGTATTATTACACCCTTTGTCCCATGTCATACACCCCAACACTTGAGTTCGATGTACAGCGTACTGACGTCGATCTGACGGTACTAACTTTCACGAGAGGCTTGATAGCCGTGTGGCACAACTTGTTAAAATAGCTCATGTACGTGTTTCTGACTACAAAAAAAAAGTAATCAGAGTTTTCTTGGCCCTACTGCAAAACCTCAGTTTTCGTTTGTGGTCTTTGATAGGTGTTCTAGCTATTTAATAATATCGCACCGTTATCAAGCCCCTTGTAACATATGAGGCCGTCTGTTCGACTATAGTGCGCTGTACGTCGAACTGAAGTTTTGGGGTGCATTATATGGGACAAGAGGGTGTAAGGTGATACCCCCTTTTTTTTTTTTTAGAGAGCACAGCCGCTTTGAAACTTCGCTCCCGTCGTAAAATTATTGCAACTACAGATATCTAAGTGGGGCAGACAATGTCCGAAGGTTCAAGAAACTGGCATTACGCTGACTCCGTGAAATGCCAACACATGCGCTAAATATTAACACATTTCGTCGAGAATCAACGTAGCAATAGCAGAGATTTCGACATAATTGTTTTTACCTGCAACAAAGTATAGGCCTTTTTCGTTTACTCTTGTCTCCTGCCACCCTATAGACCTTTCCAGCGGCAGTCTCGGCAGTCGCGCGTCCCTGGTTTTGAGAGTGTACGTCAGTGTTGTCCGACTGCGCTGAGCTGTGGAGTTTCTCGTCAGTGGGTTGTGGCAGCCTGAGTAGGCGCAATTCCGGACGCTATAGGCGGCTGAATTGCCGCGTTTTCTTTTTTATTTCGTGTTCTGTGGCGAGCATAATTTATAGAAGTCTATAAGAAAGCAGTGCTCTATTTTTGGGAACAAAAACAAAGAAAGGAAAGCTGTCTTGGTGAGTCCGTGCGCGACAACAAATGCAACTGAAATGTTTGTTTCATTTTATGTTCATCGTTTTACGGCAGCGTACACTCAGCCGTGTCAATCTATAAAGGTCAAAATTTTTGACCACACAGGATATGCGAACTGCATGGATATTCCCCGCTTACAACATGAAATTCAACGAGTCTCATCAATCAAACAACATATATTGTACGTACCCCACGGTGCCGCGTTATCCGAACAGGATTTGAGAAAGGTCTCAAATAACACAACATATCCAATATACAGTGTCGACGATAGTCACTTCATGACGATCGGACGGAATCCGGCGTGTTTTGGAAAACATGTAGGAGAGGGCTCCTTTTTTCGCAGCTTCAAAGCAAATGTACGAACGAGTCTATTCCGTCCCCACACCCCGGACCCGACCCTATTAGCTATTTTTCGCGAAGACCCGGAACACAGCCGGGAAGGCTTTTTGGAGATTAAATCAACGGAAATAATCCTCCGAGAACGTCGAACTGCCTGCGTCGCGGGCTGCTTGACGTTCGCTCTCTTCGTTCGTTTCCTGCAAAGGCCGAGTAGGCTACGAGCCCTGGTATACCCTGGTTCTCACAGTGGAAGATAACATACAAAAGGTAAGCATCCTAAACAGGTGAATAAAGTAAAAACTTCCAAGAAAAGCCGTCGAACTCCGGATGCAAAATGCAGGTGGGGAGTCACGCTGACCGGGTTTCCACAGCTCAGGCGGGTGCCAGAAATTTCTGGCTGATAGGGGTCGCTCGGTTCGCAAAATGGCAACGGCCAGAGCGCTTTTTTTTTTTTTTTTTTTGCAGAGGTCTATAGGCGTATCCGGTATGGGCGACAAAAAGAAATATTAAAACATTTATACCTGTAAATAGTATTAAAATAGGGGGTATACAAAACGAAAACGCTTGACGCTTAAGCTTTTATTAGAAATGTCTTCTACTGGCATGGCGACGGCAAAACAATGTTTTCGCCCACACCGGGAGCGACAAAATCAAAGATGGCGGCGCCTTTGTGAAAAATGTCTATAATAACGTAGTGTCAAGTGCTGGTGAAGCGCGCACGAATGGGGAGCGCGCTACCGGAACATAAAACAAAATGAAAATATTTAATGTTCATTGTTTTGGTTCGTCTAAATTCTACCGATTGACCGCATAAAAAAGTATCGCGATTGAAGCATTATTTGATTACTTGGAAGGTTAATCTATCAATCTTTCATCCCTGATATTTTCCAATTCTTCGTTGAGAATGAAAATGCCTTTATTCCCCTTTTTTAAACACTGAGTAAGAGATGTTGCCAAGCTAAGGATGCAAAAATCTGCTAAAAAAAGGATCATATACGGGTACGATGCGAACAAAATGCATCAGCACATGAAACCGCAGAAGTGTATTCAAACAGCTAGTACTCGAAGGAAGGTGAAAACTTCCCAATATGTTTATATTAAAAAACAACGACGTATGTAACGTTCAACATTCTTCGGTATTTATTCTAATCGCTTGGTACTGATTTCGCAACCATTCACCAAGTCGAACGTGCCTCGGCAAGGCTTATTCAGAAAACATTTCCGTTACCCATCGGTATGGCGTCAGATTGGCGATAGGTGGTAACGTCTCGAATCACTAAGCCACTGTTTTCGCTCGGTGGGATCTGTGGTGAGTCGATCGTCGAAACGCAGGACCCCGTGCTTGACTCTGTGTACTTATTACTTCGATATTTTATGCAATTAAGACCAGTATATTTTCTTTGATTCCTTACGAGACAACATCAGCATATATTTTCTATATTCACTGTCCGTCAAACATACCAAAATATCCGATAGTTTTGCTGGTACTCGATAAAATAACACACGTTCCTTTGATCACGATTTTGTATCGTACGCACTATACAATAAAAACACCAGTGGGGATCCATTTCAATTGGGGTTATTGGACCACAATAAATTTGGGATATGGGATCCAATCTTATTAACTTTCTTAATAGGCTGTATTTTATTGGCATTACAATTTTCATAACATAATACGTGTGATTAACTTTTCTTTTTCAATACGACTCACTGCTGATAGTCACGAATTGAGTGAGAGCGTCAAATGCCTAACGAAGGTGCGCAACGAAGCCAACACAGTACAGACAAGCGACACTGAAGACTGCTTACGCCGTCAAAACATGTTTATCTATATGTATAGGTAAGGACTGAGTAGCATTGCTTCCTTTTTCGTCAAATGGGGCTTATACCCTAAGGACCTTCGCACAATCAAAGCCAGAAATACGCAAACAGAATGTGTCACAAAAACGCCAAACAGATAAAAGCCCACGGAAGGCAAGGGTATTGACCACCCAATAATAGCCTTCAGCGCGCTGCCATATATATGTACTGGGCTGTGGAACGCATTCCAAGCATACCCAGTAGCCCTCTTCCGCGGAAGAATAAATGCTGTTATGTGCCCACTTCCTTAAGTTTTCGCCTGTGTCATTGATTGCTGGGAGGTGCGTACAAATGGCTTGGCAACAGAGCTCACCTTGTAGCGCTGTTCCGTGATCACTTGCTCGTGGATGGCGATGGTGGTAAAGAGCAGAACGAGCAGAAGGCAGAGCACGATGACCACTAGCACAGCCCACCAGGCACCCGCGGCGAGCTCGGCCGAGAGGCTCTGGACGAAGAAGCCCAGCACCAGTGTGACGGCCACAAGGCCGCACACGCTCAGCGAGATGGCGAGGTCCGTGGACAGGCCGGACAGCAGAGGAGCAAGACGCCGGAAGCGAGGCTTGATGCGCTCCAGAGAGCCGCCCACACCGTTGGGCAGCTTGTCCGAGAGGGGCCCCATTTCAACCACATCCTGCGAGGACCTCATTACGTGAATATTGGCGACCCTGAAGAAATTCAGAAGCTGTACCAGACGAGATACGAGATCATTCCTGTGGACGCTTATGCGAGAAAAAAAAAAAACAACATAACCATGGAGAACCAAAAGCAATAGTAAATCAAGTTAGCTGATGTCTTAATCTAAAAATGAAATTTCAGAATCGGATACCTCGACCAAGCCAACTGGTTGCCTAGTCAGTGAAGAGTCACGTGCCCTTATCCTATCTCACTCTTGTTCTCTCCGAAGAGACTTGAAATTTGATCCTATCGACGGCGCTAACGTTCCGGCCCGAATTGCTCGAGTGCAATAGAACCAAGACAGCAAAGCTGAGCTGGAAACATTTACACACCTTATCTTAGGTCCTATGTCTTTGGCTAATGAACATGATCCGAGCAAATTGCAACGTTTGTAGACACTGCACGTCGCTGCGTATTTATTTTCTATAATGATCATTACGGGCTGAGCTAGCTTCGAGACACGAGGAGACGCTTACTTGGCAGCGCTCTTGACATATAGCTCGCCTTTTTTGCCACATGTGCTGTTTTCTGCGCAGTGTTTGTTTACAGTGAAGGTCAAGCATGGCCACCTCTCCTGTTGATACCTGATACCTCATACCGCCGCCACTCGCGCTGATTGAGCGCCGGGCACATTTTATCAGTTGGCGGTTATCTCGAATGCCAGCTCAGCAACAGTGAGAAAGTTGACACGGATCTTCTCATATTTGCCATGCTTGTAACTATGATATTATATTAAATATCGGTTTTTTAATCGTTAAAATGCTAGCATATGTATTCTCGGGTACCGTCGCTGACAGAATAAGAACGCCGAGGAGGAGTTACAATTGTCTCTCCTCCAGAGCGAGCTTCCTACCTTGGATAAGGTTTCGCCGTCTCATTAGACCCGAGCCACGGCCTCCTATATACTAACAAAGCCTGGCCGATCGCCACAAGAAGCGGCCGCCGAAATGAAAAAGGAGGAGCGGCAGACAACGGATGAGACGAGAGCCACGTGACTGCCACCCCGCTGCCGCGAGTCCCAGAAACGCACTTCTCCCGAGCGAGCAGGTGAGTTTCGGGTCCTCGCTGCTGCAAAAGCTGAGCGCTTTCGTCCAGGTACCCCGAGAAATCCTCTGTGCTACCCGATCCTCGCACTGCAAATCTGCGACTGGGCACTCTATGGCTCCGTCGTCGAACTGCTAGGCTTTGTGAGTATAGAGGAGGTTATGCCCGAACGTGCACGCACAACTAAAGTACGGCAAAAGGCAACTGGCCCATGCTGGAGGTCGAGGGTTCAAAAGCGACGCCCTGGCGTTTTCACCTTGTTAATAAGTATAGTAACAAGTCCTGGACGCCCTGCCAAAACTAATTCGGCTGTTCCACACTCATCTGAGAAGTCTTCAGACGGAAGTTCTTGATATAGCGAATATGGTTGCCACCACAAAACTGGGCGTGTGCCTCCAGCTACGGCGCTTAGCCAATTCTATAGAAGCCAATCCTATAAGAGTTCGAAGACCATTGATATACACGTACAACCAGCACCACCGAAGCAATAAGGCAACAAAAGATCCGAGCTCCAAAAGACGTCCGAGAGCGATTCCTCTAGAAGGACAGACCCCCCTCCCCCCCCCCTCCCCCCGATTTCGTTCCCCCAGCCAGGTTTGACTTGCGTTCCCCCGCCACCGGCACCCACCGCGATCAGGCAGCAAAATAATTTTGGGAGCAAACATTTTCAGCACTCGTGTATACCCCTCCATAAAAAACAATTGCTGGCGCATTCGCTACGCTGTATGGCTCTTTCGCACGAGCATTTGCTTGCTCGCTGCAGTTGCGATTCTTCTTAGACAACCTGTGCTTTAGCAGGCGTAAACTTATTTTTTTTCTGAGTCTGCGTGCTGAGCTTTGCGATTGTACGGTGACTGCCGATTTGTAAGCGTTTGAATAGTGTAAAACACAATGGAGTAGTAACGGGTTGCAAGTTAGTTGGTATCAAAGGAAACTAAAATTCTGAAGCTCTGTTTTACACTCAAAAGGGTGCATGCCCGCAATGTGGGAAAAATCGCGCACATTGACTTAACGGGTGACGGACAAAATCATTTTCATCCGCATATGGTAATACTTGCTGCTCTATCTGCATCCTTCATGTACTGCAGGTTCTCTTATGCGGTGTGCGAGTAGCAACGCCCGTTGTAAACCCAACCGCTAAAGCGAGCCAACCTTGGGTCATCTCCTTTAACCGCCACGGTTGTGGGTGGTTGGAGGACGCACCTTTTTGGTGGGCGCCCTGTATCTGAAGATGATGATGCCTCCGCTGACGACCAGGTAAGCGAACAAGGTGCCAATGGACATCATCTCCACCAGAGTCTCGATGTCCAGGATGACGGCCAACACCGCCGCCAGGGCAGAGAACACGTACATGGCAATTAGTGGGATCTTGGTGCGCTTGTTCACCGTGCCGAACATGCGCATGATGAGGCCGTCGTCTGCCATGGCGTACGCTATCCGGGTCAGTGCGTACAGAGTACCAATCAGGACCGTTGACATCCCACACAGCGCTCCAATGATCACCACAATCTGAAAAATAAAGCCCAAGTAATTCGGAGTTCGTCGTAGCACGCTTTCGCTCGTGCCCCAAAGGCGCCCTGAGGATCGAGGTTTCGCGGATCTCTAAAATATGTCGATAACTCACTTTGCTGGCTCTAGGCATCCTATAAATCCTTAAATAATGACGATACTCGGCCGATTTCCGCATTAAAGAAGTACGGAAACGAAAATTGAAAAATTTAAATTTCGTTCTGAAATGAATCAAGCATGACGGGTGATTAGCGTAAAGGATAATCACGTTTTTATATTTAAGGACTGGCTATATATCTCGTTTCAAACGATGCACTCGAGCCTTGCTCGAGAAGGGGCGAACGGAGAGCGCAATGCGCCATGAGATATCCGGCGCAAACAAAAACAGAAAAATGATTCCCCGCATTCGTGACGTAGCAAGGCTGGCGTGGTTATGAGCTTTGCCGTTGGTGGCGTTGTCAGCGTTGTGGTGGTTTCAATAGCGTCAACACGTTACAACCGAGTCGTTCGAACTATACGTGGGGTGATGAGCGTGTGGCTGGCCCAAGGAGCACGAAGCTTCCATAACACTATCCGCGTAGGGGTGCATTAAGTGGGGAAAACAAGTTTTGTACGAGTTTTGACCGACGGGCTAATTTTCTAGGGGGAGAATGGCTGTGTCCGGGTACACAAACGAGGGTCCGAGCAAGAGGGGAGTCCCTCCTTTCCGTCTCCTTGAACTGTTTGGTACAATGTGCGATTCGTGAGCTGAGGAGGAAAGGTTAAGAAACATGTTGAATTCCAAGAAGCGGCGCTGCTCCGATGTTTAGTGCGGCTACGTAATGGAACTTGCTACGTCATGACTACGTAGCAAGTTCCCCAACTTTGCTAGATTACCTCCCAAATAGGTTCCACATGCATCCACCAAGTGCACATTCAAGTATCGTTTAATTAGCTTTAAAATTAGTTTTCTTGTGCCTTTCAACGAAAGACTGGTATTATTGAGGTTATGCTGCAACACGCAACACATTAAAGTTGAAAAATTACCGCTGGAATTTAGTTTCCGTACCCGTTTATATTGGCCATTAAATATCGCAACACACTGAGGGCATCTTCGGCGATCGGAGGAGCATGTTCCAAAGTCAGGACTACTGTCAGCCAATAGCGAGCGAAGGATCCTGGCGCCTCCGGCCGGCGGAATCGCGGAGTGACATCTCGAATGAGCGCGGCTCGTTGCCCATACAGCCCGGATACAGAGAACTAGAGGAGGGGTAGTGAGATCAGGCACCGACGCGCGCCATGCATTTCAGTGAGGCGGCGAGCGTGGAAATGTCCCGGAGCTTGGAAAAGGTCCCCGAGCGTTGCGCCTTCGACAAGGAGGTTTGGCTTGGCGGTTCGACAGTGCGAACTGGGTCCCGTTAAGACATTTCCCCCGTGTTTCCTGTCGTATATGTAGATTGAAGTGCAATAACGAATCGAATACGACGGCAATGACGACGACGACGCCGACAACGCCAGTAGCGCAGCAAATGCTATGGATGCATCCGCTACTACGGCCCATGCTTTAGTGGCGCCCTCACGTGCCGTCGACGTCATCGGGTGCCGTCGGGGCCGAGATGCGCTTCGATTGCAAACCGAAACTTAAAAACCTGTCGAATTTGTGCGTTTTTTCAGAAAGCCGTAAAAAGCTTAGCGTGCCTTCTATCGTTCTGCAATTTGTTGATTTAGTGTTTTTCGATGGTGCAGAGCAATTCTCTAATTGAAACCATGAGCTTAATCACGACATTAAAAAAGGTAATTACGCAAATTACAATCTAATTATCCCGGACTATAATAATTTTCCTAAAAAGGCCCTGACACAACACAAAATCAACACAGGCTTTTTTTTTTTTTTTTTTTTTTTTTGCATTTGCCCATTTTTTGTGAAAAACCCTGTATACATTGGTTCTGAGACGGTTATTGCGGTATTATGTTCTCTTTCCACGAAAAATTAACGTTTTTCGACTACTCTTATTTGCTTTATCATCTGCCAAAGCATACACAATTTGCAATAACAGCGTTTGCAATCTCGACTAAATGTCGCATTTTATAGATCACATGTTCGATCTTTTATTGCTCTTTTTATAGGAAATCGGTCGTCCATCTTTATGATTTATGGATTTCTAGGATGCTTAGAGCCCGCAGAGTGACTTATCGCCATATTTAGACGATTTCAGATATCTCCTGAGGGAACCTTTAAGTCACGGGTTTAAGAAAAAAATTCACGTCCAAAATATTTTTTGTTAATAGGCCACGAATGTCACAAGATCAGCTCCTGTCAAACAAAATTTAATTACCGCGTTACATACGACGCAGCAACTCGCATTTTGAATTGGGAGTGAACTTGTCTGCTCGCGCGCGAGGGCTGACACATAACCATCACATCACAGTTACAACAAAATAATTTTGTAAGCCTGCTCTTGGCAGCAATCAGGGCGAAGGAGAGACACGCCCGTTCGTACGCGGCGCCACGTGTGCGCGCTCCACCAATCACCCGCGAGCACTGAAAGGGAGAGGAGTCGCAACTGCCTCAATCGCGTCGCAAGTAGGGTGCCTATATGTCTGTCTGTCTCAGGATGAAGACATTAATTGTTGCCCTGAATGTGCCAGCGCGTGACGTTCTCCCGCATTCGGTGCGTGACTTAGGTGGTAAAATGACGTCTATGCATTAGCCAGAGCTACGCGCTCGAGCTGAGTGACACCGGATTACACGCACTTCAAAATTCATAAAAAAAACGATAGGGCGGAAAAATGGCTGAGATGTCACCACTCAAGCAAAAGCGCGCGTGTGTATGTAGGCACTCTAGTCGCAAGTATTGCATTTCGTTTTTGCTTGGTTTGGGGGGGGGGGGGGGGGGGCGATGCCTTGTTACATACACGTATTAGAAGGTAATGCCTGAGCGTGGCAATCTTAATTTTTGTTCAGAAATATTTTAATAATTTTGCTCTGTACTAAACCGTGGTGCTATTAACTTCTGCGCCACTTGCAGGGGTGTGTTGAGTGACAACAAAAATTATCCGAGTGCCGGGATGAAACAGTGCGAACTCTGAGAACGGGTGCTGAGCGACCTCTGCTATGGAAAACGAATGAAATGCGAACACCGGAGCGTCTTAAATACATGCTGCGCTAGCTAGACGCCACTATAGTCGGTTACAGGTTAAGAGTTCTGGGCTAAAGCTACCGGATAAGGGTGACTGCAAGGGTGTTACCTACTCCGATGTGCACACCCCTGTAGACGCCCTAGTGACCTTTAGATAGCGCAGCATCTATCGAAAGCCACACACTCGGCTGTTCGCATTTCATAGGTACCCGAAACCTTTGGTATCTGCTGCGACATCTGCCAGGAAAAGCCGCGCCATCGGGTGTCACGAGGCGCTCGTGTGCGCAGCTGAGCCTAGAAGTCAACAGCTGTTCGCGATCGGTGTGCAATCGCCGATAGATGGCTACAATAAAACGTGAACTTCAAGCTTAACCGTGTGTTTTTTATTACCGCATACAATGGAAACTTGTTTATTGTTTTGTCCTTCAAGATGTGTTATATGTTATGTGGCCCTAAATATAAAAATTCACTGGAAAGGCGAAACGTTTTATTTTAGTCAGAATGAAAAAAAAAACATTAGGAATGCGAAAGCATAAAAGCCTGTTCACGCATGCAGCGGAGCGCTACAAGCATACAGCGCTGACCTTGCGCTAAGCGCGTGCCGACGGGAGCGTTCACCAGCTTGGTACGGCCGCGCCGTCAAAGCCGGAGGCAGAGCGCCACGTCTTCCTCTTGCACGCTCCGGCCGTGACATCACGCTTCCCCACTGCGGAGGTGCGGCAAACCCCGCCGGATTCCGTGACGACGCATATGCGTTGCTGTGCTTTTCCTTGTGTTTTATTTCCGAGGTGCGTCCGCTTTGACATTGAGCGGCGCGCCGGCCTCACGGCTTCCGTCACGAAGCATCTGCGTTGCTGTGCTTTTCTATGTGCTTTATTTCTGAGACGCGTCCACTTTGAAGATTGACCAGCACATGACGCGTCGCAGCCAATAGGAATTTATTGCTCGTTTCGCTGCAACAGACAATGCCGGCTTCGCTCCATAGGGCAGTTAATGCTTCCGCATTAAAAAAAAAGAACACGTGCCATGACACTAGATATTCCTCTGTAGCGTATGCTGTGAGCCCACCCCCAGAGGTGGGAACGTTTTTCAAAGCTTTTACGTCCGAAAAAAAGACAATCTGTGCTAGATACAGTTAAGTAAAAAGAAAAACAAAACGTGGTGATCTTGCAAGTTCATGGTCAGCGTTTATGTACTGTCAAGGCGCATTTATACGTCAACGTAACGGCCGCGTGAGTGGACTCGCGGCACACCGACGTCACGTCGGTGAAAACGAGACACTCTAGGTACCGGCGCACTAACGCAACCGACGCGACTAGCGGTATTCGGCGCGCACAGACGTCGCAGGCGTGAAAATCAGGTTTACTAGGGGCGTGCGAATACCAGTTCGAATCAAATAGCGCACTGTCATCCCTGGCTTTAAAACTTGAAAAAAAAAAAAGTTTTTGTAAAAAATTTGGGGGTTTTACGTGCCAAACCTACGACGGGCATCTGGCACGCCCCAGCGGAGGACTGAGGATTAATTTCGACCACCTGGGGATCTTTTGACGTGCAACCGAAAGCTCGGTTACACGGCGCCTCCTCCGCAATAAGCCTCCGTCAGATTGCGGGCACCTCGGTCGGGATTCGAACCCGCCACCTGGGGATCCGTAGGCCGGCGCTCTCGCCTCGGAGCCACCGAGGCGGCTGGAGAAGGTTGTTCTGGCTTTTCCTTTTACTGCGAACGTTATTAATGACGCAGGCCTATTCGAATCGAAACGGCGTTCGCACACCCCCAGCTTGTAGCCCTCCCGCGCCGATGGTGCCAAAATCGCAAAATCGCTGGATCGCCAAAATCGCAAGCATATCGCGCTCTCGTCCGGCAGATACGGTACTTCGCAGAAAAGAAAATAAAAAAAGTGCTTGATGGAAAGTGTTCTGCGCATGCGCGATGATGTTAGCGCGCCGTCGTAGAAGTTGCAGCGGGTTCAAGCGTACACTTCGCAGCCGACGCTACGAGGTATTGGCTGCAATCAAGCAGCTCCAGAAGCGCAAGTCATTATAGGACCCCTCGATTTATGAATCATGGAGCATACGTACAGAAACATGACGAACATCATGATAGTGCGCTTTTGATGTTGTGCGGTTGCTTCCACATGCTCATATAGCGTCGGCTGCGTCTGGATGTGCCTCGAGCGAGCGTGAACAGCCGCCGAATGCTTGGCTGAGCTGTGCGCGACTTGCGACACCAGATAGCGTGGCTTCTCCCGGCAGATGTCGCAACAGGTACGCGAGGCCCAGAGCCGTACTGGCGAGGCCACGCGCTTTCCCGGTTCATTTCATTTTGTTAAGCACACCATACTTCTCTCTTCGTACGCGTACGATGTCACACGATTGCAAAACTAAAACGTGCGTGTATCAGATATTGACTCAAAGACAATAAATGAATACTTCCTTCTTTTTTTTTCAATGCAGCCCAGAACAAAATATGCTGAATTAATACTTTGGATCAAGCTACATCACAGGGTGGAACTAGCTGAACAAGGAAGGAAAACAAAACAAAACAAAAAAAGAAAACGACCGATCGATGTTTTTTTTTTTTTCTTCCTTTTTTGTCCAGCTGGTTGCACCCGTGATGTATAATAACCAACTAGCTGAGCTCATCCCCGTAGTGAATTAAGTTAGTTGGCTCATGTTCATTTAAAAAGTTTAAAACACCAGTTCGTGTTGTAGGTGTGCCTTCGTCTTTGTCTTTTTTGCGCTTTCAAACACTTAAGTTAACAGAACGAAAACGTGTTCGATGCGAGTTCAATCCCCACACCTGAACGTTTCGATCTGGATGAGCATCGTACCGGCGTGCTGTTGTGCATCATCACTGCGAGGTGCACGTTAAAGACCCCAGGATAGCAGTTGTACTGCACTGGACAACTTTATCATCTACAGCGATTAACAATGTCGCCATGTTCCTGGCAGCTGAACCTCCCGCTGTATAAACAACTGACAACGAATTACCTCTTTTCCCGATGTGAGCCTTCTTAAACTCGCAGGAACGAACGTTGACTTCACAGATACAAATAGCAAGAGCAGTGCCATGAAGCAGCTGGCACAAATATTAAACGTGCCGGAATAAAAAAAAATGTTTTCCTTGATGATTATATTATTCGCACTTTAATACCCGCAAATAGATGTCACGAATGTTGTTAGCGTTTACTGCGCCATTTGCTTTCCTTCGGTGTTTTTTTTTTTTTTTTTATAATATGTCTAACGGAGACATTATCGAAGGGGTGGACAATGTATTTACCACCCATTATTTAGCCGCAAGCTGTAGACGTTTGTTATTGTTGATTGCGTGCAACTTCTGTGAAACTCGGAACATGCAGGATAGCATGTTGTGTCCTTTCTGAAAATTTTGCTTTATGTAATCCGAGCCAAGGGTGCACCCACCTTTGCCCAGATGGCCCCCTTCATCTCAAGCGCGTCCGGGAGTCCGGAGTCCGGCACGATGTCCCGGTAGTTCACCATGAGCGTGAGCACGGCGGACACGGCCACGTAGAGCACCGTCACCACCGACATGGAGATGAAGGTGGCGATGGGCAGCGAGCGCTGCGGGTTGACGGCCTCCTCGCCGGCGGCCGCGATGGCGTCGAACCCCACGTAGGCAAAAAAGCAAGCCGCCGACGCAGCCAGGATGCCATGCACGCCGAACGGCGCGAAGCCCCCGGTGTCCGGGTTCGTCCAGTTGGAGAAGTCGGCGAAGTAGGCCCCGACGCCGATGATGATGAACAACACAAAGATGTTGACGCAACACAGGATATTGTTGAGCCACGAGGTGGCCTGCACGCCCACGGACATGAATGCCACGTACAGAACGATTATGAGCAGCGCCAGAAAGTCGGGGTGAGCGGACAGGTAGGGGCCTGGCATCTCTCCGGTGACGTTCATAATGTAGCCCTTGATGGCGCCGTGCGTTAACGAGTCAATGTACGCGCTACACGCACGGGACACGGCCGATATGCCGATCACGTTTTCCAGGACCACGTTCCAGCCGACGAAGAAGGCCCAGAACTCGCCCACCGAAAAGTACGCGTAGGAGTAGGCCGAGCCCGCGCGGGGGAAACGAACGCCGAACTCGGCGTAAGCCAGAGCTGCCAGCAGAGAAGCGACGCCGGCCACGAGGTAGGACACAATGAGTGCGGGACCCGCCACCCCCTTGGCCACGGCCGGCGTGAGTACGTAGATGCCGGAGCCCATCATGTGGCCGATGCCCAGCAGCGTGATGTCGAAGGTGGTCAGGCACCGCTTCAGGTTCGTCTGCATGTGGTCCGCGCCAGGCTCCTTGGTGCGCCTGAGCTTCTGCAGGAACGCGGACAGCATCTTGCCCACGCCTCCCTGCGAGGGGCAAGGACAAGGGTCAGTCGCGGACGCCGCCCGATCGCCAGGGCCGACCTGAGCAGACGCGGCAGTAAGCCAAGAAAATGTGGCCCATATTTGACCGAGGATTTAGGAAGGAAGGTTCCACCTATCTCACTGATCGAGGTGATTATAGGGTTATATACACCACGCGAATTCACGCACAATTTCCACTACAATCTAGTCAGGATACTCATCAGGCTCCTGAAAAGTGGAAAGGCGAGTCCACTAAATAGTCAAGATGATTCACGGACTCAAATATCGATTTCTCCAGACTATCTAACCATGTAGGCTGATCGCGCCGCTCTTAAGAGTGAGCTTCATAGGCAAAAAGGACAGACCGAAGAGAAAAAAATCACTCAAGGTCGTAGAGAGCTCGGCAGCTCCAGTCTGCTCCCGAACCTCATTAAGTGGTTTGTTCCCCTCATCATAAAATGGCAATTATATTCATGTCCATTACACAACTAGGAATCGTGCACAATCGCACACATAATTTTATGATCCACGCCTTCAAGTATCGTATTAGAATGTTTGAAAGCAATCCTAGCATGCTAAAACATCTCAGAAGGGGCAACTAATCACTTTCATCCACAACACAGAGCCCCTTAGTTGAGCAGCTCACCTTCATCTTGAGAGCAGAATAGGGATAGTAAATGCCGAGAGATCTGAAGGCCCGTGTGCCCACTGCAAGCGCGTGGTCGAAATGCCCGAGCGGTGCAACCCGCAGCGCGATCTACACGCGTCTCGCCGCCGTACTCCTACAGCAGCGGGAGAGGAGGTGCGAGCTCGAAGCCCATTGGCTCCCATCCGTCCCCATAGCTCACGCGAGCCACGCCAATTCATAGTACCCCGCTCTCGCTCACGACTGTCTTACGCAAACGTCACCCGTAAAGATTTAACAAGGTGCAGCCGTCCCAGCGGTACCGCTGCGCGTCGCCAAGAGCGGCGAAACGAGACCGGAGGCGCTCATCCTTGGCACTGCCGTCGATGCCTGCGTGACGTGAGTTACGCTGCCGTAAAGATATGCAGCCGCGCAATGAGGAGCGCTCGAGTTGCACAGTGGCTTCTTCGCACAACTCCGGCCGGCTCCAGACCCGCGGAGATTCCATGTATCTTCATCAGCGGTAGCCGGTTTATTTTACGAGAGCGGTGAATCCATGTCTCTTGTTTGTGTGTGTTTGTATTTTGTTTTGTAAGCAAAACATGGGGGGGGGGGGGGGGGGGGGGGCAGTATTCTTCAGTGGTAATGCCGTTCAAAGACATGCCGCATCGCAGATCAGATGTGTATCAAATCTGCCGTGAGCTCGGTCTCGTATTAACGCAGCTCTTTCTGGTTATCATCGCGAACGAAGTCTCACTGGACGTATGAGCTGTTTATCTTACGTCAGCAACGAAGTTTTAAGCAATTGCTTAAAACTTTGAGACTTTAAGACTTGGGCTTTTGATTTATGGCTGTTCACGTTAAGCCCGTTTCACACAGCACAGTTTTCTTACGTTACGAAGCTTACGTAGGTATACGCTCACGTCAAGATACAACCGAAAGTTACCGACACCGCACGCTTCGTGCGAAGCGATGCAAGCAGTTAAAGGACAGCACTCGCCCGTGACTTGCAGTTCTATTTTGATGTAAGCGTACGTAAGCTTCGTAACGCAAGAAAACTGCGGTGTAAACCAGCCTTTATGGTAGTTTAAACAACGTCTAGTCTGGGTTGTCAGCTTTGAGCCGCTCAATTAATGCATGTTTTTATTTTCATATTCTTGTTTCTGGTTTTATTTACAATTAAATGCGTTGTCATTTATTACGTAATCCTTACTCATTTTATTATCTTTCGTCTTTGTGATTTATTTTATTACCATCCGTTATGATGGCAGGTGCAAAGAAAAGAGCCGAAATTCCCCACCAGCATCCACTCTCTATTAGCTAGCTAGAAGTTTTTCGGTGGAAAAGAGCTTAAAAGGGTGCCGTAAATAGCAGACAGTGAAAACAGAAAGGTAAGGCATACGTCCAGCTACTGAACCACACTCTAAAAAAAAAAGGTATCACATTACACCATTTTGTCCCATACAATGCACCCCAAAACTTCATTTCGACGTACAGCGCGCCATAGTCGAACAGACGCCCCCAAATTTTACGAGGGGCATGATGACGGTGCGATATAACTTATTAAATACCTAAAGTACGTATCAAAGACCACAGAAAGAAAACACTGAGGTTTTTCAGTCGGGCCAAGAAAACCGCGATTATTATTATTTTTTGTAGTCAGTAACACGTACATTACCTATTTGAATAAGTTGTACCACACGGCTATCAAGCCTCTCGATAAACTTAGTACCGTCAGAACGACGTCAGTGCGCTGTACGTCGAACTGAAGTTTTGGGTTGTATTATATGGGAAAAGTGTGTGAAAACAGACCCTTGTTTTTAGAGTGCATAGTAACGGCTGACGACTGTTCTTAGTTATTTATTTGTTGTCTCTACTGAACGCCACTTTCTACAAACAGATATCTTTAATATGGCAGAAACAAGTCCCTTGAAATTTAATTAAAAAGAAAATCCCATTCACAGTTTTTCTGGAGCTCTCTGCTCATCATAAAATCCTCTAGCATCTAGCTTTTACCGCAAGCATAGATACGAGGGCCTTCGTCGGAAAGTATTATAACGTGACAACATGTTTCAGCATTCGTTTTGTGGGATCCTAGATGGCACGGGTGAATACTACGTTGCTACTAAAGATGAGCTGTAGCCAATTTGTACTGAGTCCAACATCCCAAGATACTTATCAAGTTTACAAATTCGCAGCCAAGCGCGCAAACTCCATAGATTAACAGACTCGCATTCGTTACGTTCTGAACAACAAGCAAAGCACCCGTCATGCTCACGGGCTGAAGCACAACTTGTGAGCTAGACTGTAGTATGTTTGCAACCCCTCCTGCTTCCGACGCCACGCCGAGACGGCACCGCTGCCCTTTAGCGGGGCGCGCGCAAATACATCGCCCTTCGCAGAACAAAATTCCGGTGCACGCTTCCAAACTTTCTGTTGACGTCAAGGATAGATGGATGGCTGCTAACGGGCGGTAGCTTGCGCCACCTAGCCTAGAAACCAAAAGTATGATTTTTCCGCCCCGCCAATTTCCTTCCCCTCTGCTGTTGTAACTCATATTTGGTGCCACGATGACCTTTGGGGGACTGGGCGAACGAGAAGAGAACTAAAAAAACATCTTACCCCCTCCCCCTCCCCTTCCAACACCGTGCCCACTAGGAGGCAGTGTCGAGGCTTTTGTCCAGAGCCACGCAGGAGGGAGTCCCAATTTTCCTCTGTCCCGCCTGTCCCCACCTGTGCTAGTTATTCATTCGTCCTTCGACTCTCCCTAGATAACTTCGATCAGCCTTCTCATCTCCTCTTTGTTATTCCAATGTCCTATTCATCCATTCATCCATTCTCATCTGCAAACCCCAGCGCTAAGACCAAACCATTACCCCATTCCCGAGGGAGTGGGGGGGGGGGGGGGGGGGGGGGGGGGGGAATGTAAGCCCTCTGCACGTCAGTACCACGCATTCGATTGTCTAGTCTTCTTGAAGTACGGTACACCGCCTATCCATTTCTTCATACTTTACCCTATATGACCTAGTTTTCAATACTCCCGTTCTACCCTCAGACAACGACGAACTTCCTCGTGAATGGTCATACCAATGTTCTTTCCTTATTTCCCTTTTTCGTCCCCTATACTTAGTTAAAGCCGATTTTTCCTGTATTTCTTCCACCCACGGTCTCCTCTCGTTCTCATTTACTTCCTTTTCTACGCAGGTAGTCTGCTCTGACCCCAGCACTTGACTCTTGGTATTTGAATTTCAGCTTTCAAGTTCCGTTTGTCCTCTCAGTGTTTAGGCTCTTCATATATAAATGTCTATGTAAACCTTTCTCGGCTATCGTGTATCCTCCATCCTCTCTAGTCTTTGCTGAAATTTCAATTTACCAATTGCCTCTCTTACTTAATACTAAATAAGCTTAGGCCTTATTTGAATCGTTGCCAGCAGAAGCACAAGGAGAGCGCCCAACCAACTCTGGCCAGAGACATAACGTAAACACAGTGCCACCAAACAAACCAGGACAAGCAAGGCTGCCGCGTGGCAGGGTCGCCAACGATGTTATGTTATGTCTGTGGAGTTGCTTGATTTCCAGCCAAGCAAGGTCGACTTAAACGCCGCCATAAAGTGTCGTCACTAAAGCGTACAAAACGCCGAAACACCCTAACTTACAAAAACTTAATCGAACGGTCGGAAAACAGGGGTCTCCTGTATATGTTAGCAGAAGAAATGCTAATGTCAAAATATATCTCTGTTGATATCCTTTAGTACGCGAAGGGCATTGCTGTTGTTGCATGTATGCAGCACGCACAGTTTTGCACATTGAACTCGAGCCTGGTAAGCTTACGTCAGCAACATTACAATGCATCTAATAAAGTGCAAGCTCCGAATACAAATAATTAGCGTACAATTCTTGTCGACCCAAGATTTCGTATGCAAGTTGATAGCCTATGTAAAGGTCACGAGAGATGACGTTTCGGAAGGGAAAAACATTTTAAACACCTTACTGACATTTGAACTATACATACAATGCGTCTAGCTCGCTCCGCAGTAAGATCACGAAGAACTGAAAACAGCCGGTAATTATTCTCATTAAAAATAAACAGGTATATTTCTCTTGGCTTAGAACTGCCTGAATTGCATGTGGAGACCCTACAGCCCAAAATATATCAATAATTAGTAAAGCTAGAAATACCAACGGCTCGCAGCCGATCTCCAAAGCAGCGAAGAGGCATTCACGCGGAAATGCGACCGCATCCATTGCATGGCATACCCAATGTAAGTAAAATATGTAAACCTTCCGGACATAACAAAGTATGTTTTCACACTGCATCAGTCCACCATTTTGTCATTAGCTGCGACATTGGCTGCTAATAATAACGAGAGTCCCGGAGTGAAGGAAGCCTTGAGGGTGCTCGCTCTTCGCTTGCGCTCAGCAGCGTACAACAATATTAGGGAGGAGGTTGCGTCGGTGAACAAGCACACAACAGGACAACTGATTGTCCAGAAATAGCAAGTTATCTCAGTTCAAGATACGTTTGTGTTAAAGGGTCTCCAATGTCGTATCATTTCCACCAACAACACCGAATGCATAGTTGTCCTCCACATCAATTTAACTCGTCGAGGCAATCGTAACTTCAGCAAGCCCTCTGTACGCCATCTGAACTGGGGAATCGTTTGGACAATTCACAGCCCGACTTTCAGGCAGCTGACCGCGACTCGTAGGAGAACATTATTTCCTTTGCGGACCCTTGAGCGGGCGTGGCGTCAAGATCACCGCGAAGAATGAGCGGCTCCAGCGTTGTTCCAGGTAAGTGGCCGCGCACAAAAAAGCACGCTCCCTGCGATGACAATCGAATGTGCAACCGATTTACACATATCGCGATCATGCGGATGAAATGTCAATCCGCTAGTAATTTTGTTCTATGTATGTTCAGACAGCCGGAAGTTAGTCTGCGTGAATGAGCAACTTGACTCTGGGCTGTAGATGAGAAATTTAGCCAAAGCAGTACAACCGCTAGCCTGCGTCTTCAACGTGCACCACGCAGTACTGTAAGACGACCGCACGATGGTACGATGCTCATACAGACTGAAACAGGACAAGGTGGGGGACTGAACCCAGGATCCCGGGTTCCAGCAGCGCGAGCTTTCGCGCATAACTCAGCCTCGCCATTCAAATTTAACAGACAGTGACCGTCAATGACAGGGCCGCTTCGCCATCGCAAACGTTCCTGTATAACGTAACGCAATAGGTGAAGACGCTTGTGAGCAAGTGTCATCACTGACTGTGAAATAATCCTCTATTCGGCTAAAAGCGTTCGCGTGACAGATCCCTCCGAAATCGAGCGGAATTATGCGATAGCAATGATCAAGAATACTGCCGGAGTTCGAAGGTGTCTCGCGAAATCCGACCACGTGACCCAGTGGCATC